GTGTGCATGCGTGCGCGAGTGTGGGTGCCATTTTGGCATCCAAAATGGCACCCGCGCTTGTGTGTGGGGCGGTGGCAGCAGCGGTGGGACCGGCCATGGGCTGGTCCCAAGGCTTCCACGGGCCACACCCGGCCCATGGTTTGGGGGTTGCCGACCCCTGAATTAAACAGTGTGATCTTTTTGCAAAACCATTGTTATGATTTTTCTATCTCAAGTTTTCATTGTTGTTGTGTTGCTACATGCCTTCCAACGTATCATAGGGTTTTCCTGGCAAAATTTGTCCAGAAGAGGTTTGCTGTTGCCTTTCTCTCACATTAGTTGTCTAATTGGCAGTTGTACTTTATCAGAAGGATGAGCCAGCGTGGCGCAGTGGTTAGAGCACTGGACTTATGACCCTGGAGAGCAGGGTTCAAATTCCTGCTCGGCCATGAAAACCAACTGGGAGACCTTGGGCAAGTCACAATCTCTAAGTCTCAGAAGAAGGCAATAGCAAATCCCCCCTAAAGAAACTAGCCAAAAAAACATGTGGTAGGTTCACTTAGGGTCGCCATAAGTCAGAAACGACTTGAAGGCAAACAACACACGCTTTATCAGAACACCTTCAAGCCCAGAGTCATTGTTGACTTTCCTGTGCAAACTTCTCTGATTTATAGGACTTATCAGAACACCTGCACAATCCAAAATCAGGGTTGGAAAACAGTTTAAAAAACAAACAGGGCTTTTTGGGTTACACCCCTATCATGAGGTTTTCTTGGCAAGATTTGTTCAGAGGAGGTTTGCCATTGCCTTCCCCTGAGGCTGAGAGCATGTGATATGCCCAAGGTTACCCAGTGGATTTCATGGCCGAATAGAACCCTGGTCTCCAGTGTTTAGTAGGACATTAATACCCTAAAGACACTAGATCCCATCTAATCTTGGAAGCTAAGGAGAGTCACCTCTGGTTAGCATTTAGACAGGAGATTTCCAATTCATACCAGGTGCTGTAGGCTACATTTCAGAGGAGGGAACTGCAAAGCTACCTCTGAGTATTCATTGCCTAAGTAAACTCTGTGAAATTAATGGGGTTGGCATAAGTCAACAGGCCACCTGAAAGCGTGCACACACGCACACACACTAAACCTAGTACTTGACTATTTCACATGCTGCTGTTCCAGTATTGTATCCAATACTCTGGATTCAGTGGGTGAAATTTCATCCTTAAACCTCAGAATCTTGGAACAACATACAAATAAGCTTGGGATTCCCACAACCAAGCTGAGTAGATATTTAGGGTTTGTGAGAGAGTATTTAGTTTGGCTTAGTCCTGGGAGGCCATACAACCAAGTAACAAGCAACACCTGCTGGAATTCCCTCTTCTATGCAACCATTATTTATTTATCTTGAGTATTATATCCCACTCTCCAGTTTTCATTCTGGCAACCCTAGATGTGTATGTATAATTTCAACAGAAGAATGGAGAAGTGTAATTTGAGATGAGTAGGTCTGTTAAGGGAAATTATAAAATACCATTTTCGGTATTAGTTTCAGCAAAAGCAAGCAAACTTTGGAGTCATGTAGACTAAAAATATCATTATAGCACAATCTAAGCTCATGAATGTTTGTTAGACAAAATGAGTTTGTTAGTCTTTAAGATAACACAATAATTTTTGTTAAAAAAAATCACACTACAAGGGACATTAATTTAAAAGTTGCTATAATTGTGTTTCCCCCCCCCCCTAGATATATAAGCCTGTCCATAAAATACTTTTTAAAAAGCCATATATGCATCATATTTTTTAGTTTCTCAATCAAAATAAACATTTTGAAACATACTGGAAACAATATATTGGTGTAACTATTTATTCTTAGCATCATTGGTTCCACAGTCTACCAAGTGTTAATGGGTAGAGTTCTGCACTATCAATGATCTGAATTCCGTCCATGGGAATCAGGGAGGAATCACTGGATAAAAACTGTGTGTTCCAAGCAGTGTCACTTTTTGTAACTGCTATTGACTGGGTCTGCATGTTAGCAAAACTCCAGAATTGCATAAAAAGTGAAAATAAAAATAAATTTTAAAACTCCTGAAAGGCATGTTGGCACAGAGGTGAGCTTAAGGGGAAGTGTGGAAGACAGCTTCACAGTTGTGCAATTGACAAGATGTGACATAATACGGTAGTTGCTCTGAAACCAATATGTTTCCATTTTCTTTAACTCATGCAATAGTGGCAAGAATGGGGCTCGTGTGGTAATATCCTAAGCCACTTCTAATCTGATTTTCAAGAACAATATTACCCAGGTGACTTACACAGTAAGGAATATAAAGCACACAATGAAATCATATTAAATATTAACACATCTGAATCAAACTAGTTGCAATGTAGTGGTGTTTTTAAAACCCATCAGAGGGCAAACACCAAAACTGCTTATTAAAAGTCTGAGAAAACATTGGTTTATCTGCTTCCTGTTGGGAAGGAAGCCAAACATTTTTCTCCCTGCCTGAATTTGCAGACGAAAGAGAGGTCCGGAATGAAGTCTTTGAAGTTTTATCCCACTATGGCCCTTTCCTTGCTTCTTGAAATAATGGGCACACATGGAAGACCTTGAAATGGATTTGGTGGTTGTGGTTTGTCAAAATCATGCCCTTCAGCACAATGTTTTCCCATACAGATGTTGCAGAAGATGGTGTTCTGAAATCCCGTGTGACATCTAGTTTGCACCACAGAATGCCATAGGGCCAGTATGTCTATAACAAATGAAAGTGGCTGCTACTTTTCTAGAGTTTGACCTCTTGGAAAGGAGATCATGGTGAAATTTATAACATAATCAACCATCATCACATCTTTGCAAGAGGAGTTGTGCCTAGAAACATATAATGTCTTATATGGTTCAGATCCAGGTTATCTGGTAAACCGTATCTCCCTATTTAAGCCAACCCGGGTCTTGAGATCATCATGAGAGACCCTTCTCTCACTCCTATGATTTCACAAGGGGGAAACTGGGAGTTTAAAGAAATGATTAACTTGTGAAAATCATGCAAATGACATTAAAATGTGCTTAAAACAACATTAAATTATTATTATTATTATTATTATTATTATTATTATTGGTACATAGGCACCCCAAATTTGTTCAACAGTATAGACTGCACAGAGACCTCTTTCCATATTGCATTTAATATCTGAAAGCTGATTCCTTGCTGTCAGCTCTGACAATGTCACTTTCCTATTTAATGGGTAAAACTGATTTGAAGTACATCATGCCCACCATTAAATTAATAGTATACATGCCATCTATATGACCTCTTCAGGGACTGGGTTGCTTATTTATCAACTTTAACTGCAAGAGTAGGCAAGGAGGCATCCTCCAAATGTTGTAGATCGTGCTTTTCAGGTTATCTGATGAGGAGGACCAGCAATTAATTTTTTCCAATATGCCAGGGACTGGCATCATATTTGTGCCCACTGGCTATAATTGTTTCTTTCCTGGAAATTTGTCAACTACTAGCCATAGTCCAGGGACCATGACTTTAAATAGCACTCTTCTAGACTACAACACCTATAAACCCGAGGCCTCATATAATGATACAAATGCAGAGTGGACAAAACATAATAAACAATGGGCAATAACAAGGTCACAGTAGCCTTCCTTGTAAGTTGTAGTTACCACCTTTCCAAGTGGTTTTTTAAAGAAATTAATGTGAGTGCATTTATTTTAACAGACTAATAAGAAAATATGCAGGCTAGGAACATTGTGGGCTGATTTATATGCCAGCCTTGCTGGTCTTTTTCATAGATAAGTTGATCAGAGTTCATTTATTTATTCTGTTAACCTGGACACTAAAATGGAAATCATAAGAAAAGTGGAGGCTGGTAGAATTAAAAACAAATGACAACTAGGTGTGTTTTGGAAGAAGCTTTCAAGTGTTCACTTACTTATGCAAGGCTTCCCTGACCTGGTTGTTTAATTTCCCTTGTCTGATTCATATTGTTAGTTTTAAATAGCCACTTTGCTGAAACACGTAGAATGATACTTTGTGTGTATATGTGATGTAGGAATCTGTCCCTATTCTTTTCATGTTATTTTTGCCTCCCTTACCACATTTTTGTTAAAGAAGTAATGTCTAGGAACACATGACCTTCATTAATTGGACTATGTCTGTAGTCAGTTGGTAAACGGGTCCTCTTTTTTTCCTTTTCAAAATATGTTGACCCTAATTTAACAAAAAAAGAAATGGGAAGGGGGGGGTGGATCTAGCAGCACCTTCAGGACTCCTTGATTTATTTAAACACAAGCTTTTGTGCATTTGAGTTCTCCTAAGTACACTCTTCAGATGCTTCACAGGGAGTTGCCATTGAGTATTTCTACATGAAAAGGAGAGGCATCTAATGTAGTGTTTCAAGCGTTGGTCTAGGACTCCGGGAGGCCAGGGGTCAAATTCCCACTTGGCCATGGAAACCCACTGAGTGATCTTGCAGAGATCACTGTCTCATAGCGAAAAAAGAAAGCAATGGCTAACCTCCTCTGAATAAAACTTGCCAAGAAAATCATAGGATATGTATCGGAGGTACTTGAAGACACAATGGCAGAAGGTTGGACTGGATGGCCTTTGTGGTCTCTTCCAACCCTATGATTCCATGATTCTAATATACAATCCACAGATATTTAAGCATGTGCCTGGGGGTGGGATCAGAGTGTAAATGAATACAGAAAGATACAAATTGTGACACTGACTATAAACCTTGAAAACATTGTGTAAGATGGTACTGGCCTGTCAAGCAACCAGTCTGTTAGTTCTGACAGCCGCATTAGCTTGCTCCACTAGTTGATTTTTCATTCTTTTAAAAACCTTTTAATATCAGTATTAAAGAAGATGAACAAAGTGACTTGGGGCCTTTGCAGACTGCCAGTCAACTTTAACTGTCCTGGCTCAGTGCTAAGGAATCATGGGAACTGTAATTTATTGTGGCACCAGAGCTCTCTGACAGAGAAGGCTCAATGTCTCAGAAAAAAATACAATTCCCATGACTCCCTAGCACTAATCCTAACCCTTAAAGTGGACTCAATTTGCACTATTTCTAGCAGTCTGCAAAGGCCCTTAGTTCCTCTTTGAAGCTTTTTACAATTTGTCGGACATTTCAAACAGCTAACCTGCTTGATGGATTCTGTCCCCTGACTATTTTTGGAATGCGGCTGTGTGGGAGTCAACCAGCCCTTCACAAAGCCCAACGAAAATACTGTTGTTGCTATGCAAGTGCTACTACTTGATTTACCTGATTTATTGTTTAACTCAGAGTTTTAATGAAAATGGTGGAGCAGTTTGGAAAAATCAAATTGTAACATTTGATTACAAATGGTATTTTTGTGAATTTGATATAAAATAAAGCGATGTGTTGCTCCATGCAAAAAGTCATACTACCCTGCTCTGTTTCTAATGTTTGTACTAAAT